TGAGAGAGACTGAGTCAGAGTGGTAAAGTCAACACAGTCTCTGTCATGGAGCTCATACATTAAGCAAATAATTATATTAAAGAATGGCACATATTAGCAAAGACAGGGTGATTTGAAAATGTAGGGAGCTCTCCAATAAGCTCAAATTTAACCTGAACATTTATGAAATATGGAAGTAGGATTAATAGAAAAGTATAACTTGAGCACCTATCAGGGTCCAGAAAGCAAAAGCCAGAATAAACGAAGATTTATGAAACATTTCTAGCCAATGACAAAGTCATTTTAATCATGTTCAGAGCAGAGAAATGAATATTGAAAGATTAGTTATACTACTTGCACAAGATAGTAGAATGTTGAATTGGCAGAAGTGTTCAACTAATTGCATTGATCACCATCAAAGAAAATAAATGGACTAAAATTTAAGAGGTTTTGAAGTCTAAGGTAGAGGTGAAGTTGTGGAAAATACACTTGAAATAAGTCCATTTCTGTAGAAAATCATGCTAATGACATGCGACCTTTAAGCTCTGAATTCACAGGAAACATGAAAAATACCAGCTCATTTCTCATCTTAAAGTTCATGCACTCCTGCTAACTGAAAAATTCTTATTTTATCATTGCTATGCTTCTAGTTTGGAGTTTTACAGAATAATAGATATGTTGGAATATAGATACATTGGAAGGACTCTGTTTCAGCAATTTTCTTCCGGATAATCAAATCATTTTGCTTATTTTATAAAATGAATAATATGTGAAATCTGTGTAGATTTAGAATATTTTAAAAATTATAACATGAATCATCAGTGCTTTTATTGCTTTGATATTTGAAGAAATATCATGAAATTTACAGATATATACTTTGAGTGTTGCTTTTAATTTAAACTAGGCAATAGAAATAGCTATGAAGACTGACTCTAAACCAATATTCCACAAATAACTATTGGAATTGCACAACTAACATTGGTGATTAAAAAAAAATCTATGTGATCTTTGAGAAACTGTGAAGAAGGGATAAAGTATTGGATGAGAATGGTGTGGTCAGCAATCTCACATTACTTTGCTTATTCATCTTTATTTTTATTTTTTTAATTTTTTTTAGTCAAGGCAACCCTTGATTGATCTCACAGATTGCAAGGACTTTCTCAGATTACAATCTTTTATTTTTCTATTTTTTTACGCCTACAGCACCTGGTCTTCCTAGGTGGTCTCCCATCCAAGTACTAACCAAGCCCAACCCTGCTTAGCTTCTGAGATCAGATGGGATCAGGTTTGTTCAGGGTAGCATGGCCATAAACACTTATTCATCGTTAAAAACATATTATCACTTCTATATGTCAGGTATTGTGCTATTCAGTGGTGACACGAAGTTTAGTAAATAAAGGAGCTGAGTCTCGACGTCACAAAAGCTCACACTCTAGTTGGCAGTAAGAAGGACACATGAGCAATTACAATTGAGTGTGATAAATTCAACAAGAAAACTTCTGAAGCTCAGATAATATTAATTAATAAAATTAATGTAATTTAGTCTTTTGACAGGGATGGAAAAGATGTCAAAAAGAAAATAATGCTTCATTCGAGTCTGATTTTTGTTGCTAATTCAAGAATAAATTGCTTATTGAGCACAGATATGTGTAAGAACTTTTAAAGGTACCTAACTATTTTTTTAAATTTTAGAAATAAAGGAGAAAAATGCAAGTCAGGAATGCACAAAAGTAGAGCTGTAGCCGATTGTGTAATGAAGTACAAATAGTTTCCATTGATAAATCAGTGCCAACCACTCTTAAGTCGTCTTTTGTAAGACTGCATACCTGATGCTGATTCATTAAGTGTTTTTATCAATGACTTGGATGAACACATAAATTTAGAAATAATAAAGCTGGGAAGGGTGGTTAAAACATTGGATACAGAATTAAAACAAAGAACAGAGATGATAAATCAAGTGTAAGATACATTTACTTATCAGTAATAATTGTGAATTCATGTTAAAATGAGTTAAATAAATATGGGATTTTAGAGATCTTTAGTGACATCAGAGCACAGAATACCTGTTAGGGCACAATGTGATACAGATGCAAAAATAGATAGACAATGAACACTTAATGCTTATGTCACATTAACAGAAGTGTAAGGTCATTTCTTTATGACAATTGTTACCATAGCCTGCTCTGATTGGACTCAGTTCACAATATGTCCAGTTCTGGGAGCCATGGGCATTATTTTATGTACTGTAATGTAGATTATTTTGGCAGAGACTTGAAGACTAGAGATGTCTAAAATATCAAGGAAGGCCACGAAAGGCACTTAAAACAAAAGCAGCAGAAGCAAGTGGAGACCAGCAGGTAAGGTATCCTGGACAAATAATCTGTAGGCACCATAATAGATGTCCTAGCAGGAAAACCATACATAGTCTCAGCAAGTTTGAGCTACTACAGCAATAAGAGAAAGTGCTGGCTGCCAATCAAACTCAAGTGGACCCTTCCTCCAGTGACCCTACAAAGGAATTGAAATAAAAGGCAAAATGGCACCTTCCAAGATGACTCAAAGAAGGATAAAGAAACAAGACCCCATTTCTAAAAGTAATGGAATAGAAGGAGGAGAAAAGAGGACTTGCATCCTGGATGTTAAGGAGACATAAAGGCCTGGTCCTCTAGAATCACAGTAGAGCTAATAGCAATGCAGAGAAATACATTACTCACCGTTTCTCAAATTTTCCTGCCTAGAACAGGTTTGATCTCTGATTCATGGGCAGGGCAGAGTCTACAGGTGAAAGTGTCATTTGCCCAATGATGAAAATAAGAATTTGCCCAATGATGAAAATAAGAATTTCTAAGAATTTGAAAGTGTCATTTGCCCAATGATGAAAATAAGAATTTGCCCAATGATGAAAATAAGAATTTCTAAGCTGATTGGTGTTTCTAAGCATAGATAATTCGGTGTTCTCCTAACTGCACTGCAGAGTTCATTCATTCCTAGTGAAACACATTAATTGAACACTGTCTTATGAGTTGAATACCATGCTAGATTCAGAGAATGTGAAAACAGATGAAACTAGTGCTTTGAAATAAAGACCACATTTTTATAGGTAATAGAGAATCATTAAAATTTATAAAGCCAGCAAGTAATGAACTAGGTTTTAGAATCAGCTAACAGCAAATGGAAGGGTTTAATAACCTATTTGCGTGGTTGAGTAATGAATGATGTTAAAAAAATATAGGCCGATTTGAAACATTTGTTAAAAGATATTAATTGGAAAAATGTTTTATGGGAAAATAGAGTGAATGTATCAATAATTTAAGTCAATTTCTCATTGCATAAGTAATATATATTTTCTTGGCAAAAAATTCTAAAAATAGAGGCACACAGTTTGGTCAAATTTTATGTGAATCTGAATTAGTTAAATGTAAAGTAGAATGTATATGAAATATTTATAGATCTCACTTCTTGAGAAAAGTGTTAAAGCAAATAACCATAAATTTAAAAAAACAGTGAAACGAGTGAATTGTAAACTGTTTACATTATTGCCACAAGGTGGTGCCATAGTGGTAACTGTGGCCAGTAATGTAAGTGTTCTTCCAAACTTTTCTCTGTTTGCATAATTATGTATTATATTTATAATCATACTCATAATTTGAGGCTTTATAAGTAAATGAAAATTTTCTGTATATCTAATGTGCAAACTGGAACTTGCTGTCTTCAGTAAATCAAATATGTTGGGGATCCATTTCATTCTTTAACCGCTGTCTAATATTCCTTAGTAAAAAGATCTGTAATTCATTTAAGTTTCGTATCAATGGTCATTTAGGTTTCTTAAAATTTTTCACTAATGCAAATGATGTTACAAAGAACATTCTAGAACAATTATCTTTGCAAACATAAGCAAGTGTGTCTGGAGTATATATTCTACCAGGAGAAATTTCTGTCTCAAAGCAAGTGAACTTTTGAATTCTGACAACTATAGTCAAATGGGTCTATTTAAAGGTTCTAACAATTTAAGCTCTAGCCAACATTGTGTGAGAACACTCGTTTTTTTCTCATATCACCAATACTGAATGTTTTCTATCTTTATAAATGTTGCTACCTGATATAAAAATGATGGTGGTGGTAAGTTATCATTCCTTCATTAGTAGTAAGGTTGAATAGGTTTTAAAATTTTTTGTGAATTTTTGTGTTTTTTGTTTAGCAATTTGCCAGCTCATATCATTTGCCACTTTTACTTTTTTCAGGGAGTTAATTTTTTTCTTTTGGATTGGTCAGAACTTTTCATACATTATAGATATTAGTCATTAGATTGAGTTATCTGATACTTTTTCCTCCTAATCTGTCATTTATCATTAAACTTTGATAATAGGGTTTTCATTGTAAATGAGTTTTAATTCTTAGGTGTTCAAATGTCAGGAATTTTCTCTTATGGCTTCTGTTGTTTTGTGTGTGTGTGTGTGTGTGTGTGTGTGTGTGTGTGTGTGTGTGTGTTTGTATTTTTTTACTTTGAAAGAATTTTCAAAAATTTTAAAGCTCTACAAAATTATTTTTTTATTTGACTGTAATATAATCATATGTGTTTTTTCAACATTTAGTATTTTTGTATATATGGAATCTGTTTTAATGGATATCCAATTATCTGAGCATGATGTATTAAATAGATGTTTTGCATCTCCAATGATTTGAAATATTATCTTATTCATGTACCAGTTCCAAATACTCATGATTTTGTGATCAGATCATCTGTACTGCTCTGCAGTTGACCAAAATCTTAACATTTCCACACAAATAAAGGCAATGGATCACAGAATTATCTCTACTTCCAAGAAACAGAAAAGGGAGCTCAGAGAGTTAAGGGTTTTGCATGAAGTCCTGTAACTGCATTAGTGGCCAACTTGGGCCTGAGAACCCATTTTTCTTATTTCTTAGTATTTTTTTCCCATTCTACTGTGAACTATGATTTGAGATCAACAGAAAATATGTCACTTTTACCCTCTCTTATTTTGATTCATTTTCAATAACAGAGGAAGCCTGCAGTAAATCCCCATGCCAGAACGGGGGCACATGTATAAATGAAAGAGCTAGCTTTATCTGTGCGTGCCGACATCCTTTTACTGGTCACAACTGTACTATCAAGCTGATGGAAGAAAATGCTTTAGCTCCAGGTAAGAAAGTGCATACACCCTTGGATTTGTTAATTCATAAAAAAAACCATTTTTTGAAAATATTTACAAATGAATATTTAAGCCTTCTTAATCTGAACTCTTATGAGAATTAATTCCTTTTACTGCTAAAAGTTATTGAATAATGCACGTGGTTTACAAGTGGAAATGTCTTTGTCAGGTAAATTTGTATTAATATACATTTGTTGAAATTTTCAAAATTGGTATAATAGAGACAGGGGTGTTTTTTTCTTTTTCCTTGTGCTTCTTAAAGGAAAATACAGATGTATATACCTGACTGGTGTAAACACTTTCTCCTCAAACAAGTTGTTAAAGAATACACTTTCGATTCATATCAGACATGGTCATTTAAAAGAAGCTTTAATAAGTGCTTAGCAGCATATTTGCCATAAAGATTAAACTAATAGTGCCTTTTGACTGAGTGAGGACTGTTAGAATATGCTTAAATGTATTGAGTAGAATAAGATGCCTCTTTTTGTCCACTTCATAATTATTGGTTGCTATAAATTTACTTCAAAAGTGTACCTGATTCTTTCTACAAGAAAATATATGCAACATTTAAAATATATTCTCTTTAATTACAGCAAAAACATTTTAAATCAGGCTTTCCTAATATGCTGCATAATGAAGAGTAAATTTTTTAGTCTATTTTTACATCTCAGCCTTTGTAAGTACAATTGGCATTAATTACATAGAAAATTCCTTTTGTCTTCTCTATAGTTCATATGACTTCATTTGGTTTCCGTTTAGCCTCTAGAAACTGTTTGACAAGGTGCTGGAAAAATTTTTTCTACATCATGTCAACTTCAGTTCCTTCAAGGGTTTTTAAAACATTCTGGCATACCATAATAATCATCGAATGCTTTGAATTTCTTTATCTCTGGAGAGATCAAAGCAACATGCAAATTAATTTTAGAGGCATTTTTATGAAGGAGGTATCAACTGTCGTTATCATTCTATCCTGATTTAAATGGAGAAACTGAGGCTCAGAGAGGCTAATCGATTTGGGGCAACTTAGCCAAGAGAAGAGGCAGGCATCCAGACACGCCTGTCCTTGTTAAATCTGATGAATGACTTTTTTCTTTCTGCTAACCATTTTTGTAACAGATAAAATGATAGAGATATGAGAACAGGCAAAACAAGACAAAAACATGAAAATTAACTTTTCACTTTTTTCCTCTAACAGATTTTTCCAAAGGATCTTACAGATATGCACCAATGGTGGCATTTTTTGTATCTCATACATATGGAATGACTACACCTGGTCCTATCCTATTTAATAATTTGGATGTCAATTATGGAGCTTCATATACTCCAAGAACTGGAAAATTCAGAATTCCATATCTTGGGGTGTATGTTTTTAAGTATACCATTGAGTCATTTAGTGCTCACATCTCTGGATTTTTAGTGGTTGATGGAAGAGACAAGCTTGCATTTGAATCTGAAAATATTAACAGTGAAATACACTGTGATAGAGTTTTGACTGGGGATGCCTTATTAGAATTAAATTACGGGCAAGAAGTGTGGCTGCGACTTGTCAAAGGAACAATTCCAGCCAAATTTCCTCCTGCTACTACGTTTAGTGGTTACTTGTTATACCGTACATAAATTAGTATGAAAGACAGACTATCACCTTTACTCAGAAGCAGTCAGTGTTTTTATTTATCTTTGCATGCACATCTGTTCTGTTTTTTAGTTTTCCTACATGTAATGAAAAACAACTTCTTTTTTAATGTGAGTAAGTCTGTATTTGATAAAATCAAATTTGTATATCTTTTGGATAACCTATATATGATGTTCTTGGTCCCTAAGAGATTTAGTGGCACAGAAAACAAAATGAATGTGTAACTATTTTTGTTTTCTCACATTATGTCATTTAAATGTAAAGTAATATTCTAAACTGGAAATCACTCAATATTGTCAGTCACAGTAGTCTTTTTAATAAAACATTAACTTGTATTATTCCTTATATATATAAATGTATAACATATATTTCCTAAATTCACAAATTCAAATAAATTAGTCAAAGACCAAGAAGTGTGTTTTTTAAAATTTGATTTTTACTCCTTACTGTTGATTTGATCAATTTTATATATTAAAATTTTTATTTGTAATCAAAAATATAAAGTTGAGTTTGGCACTTGATATATACTTAACTATTGTTCTCTTCCTGTAATGAGGTTAAAGTAAAAATTGACAAATATTTAAACATTTACACTATGTTGAAGGATATATAAGTGGACCTTTTACCTGCCTCCATTATAGCATATCTACAGGAAAAAAAAATAAAACCTTCCTCATAGGATGTCCTTCTGCAGCAGCACCTGCAGACTTGTCCAGATTTTTATACAGAATATGTAATACTCCATAGAAACACTAGAGTTTATGAGATGCTCTCTATGCCTAGATTCTCTTCTAAGAAACTTACATGTCATATCTCATTGACTCCTCACAGACTCATATAAAGTGGGTATTATTGTCACCATTTTTATAGTCGAAGAAACGGAGTCAGAAAGATTAAGGATGGACCAATCTCCACAACTAGTAAGAAGTGAAGCAGAATTTAGAATCATACATCCTTTCTAAACTATACTGTCTCCTATAGGGGTACTACAATTTATTTACAAATCCCTTATCAAAAGTCGCTGAGATTGTCTCTAGTGTCTCCAAGACTGTTTACTACACCCTTAAAAATACATTCCATGCATATTCAACAAAGTATTTTTGAAGAATAGATTCCTACAGGTAACAGTAAAAGTAACAGTAAAAAATTGGAGGTATACAAGCATTTTTCATGAATTAATTTATTGAATGCTTACTATGAATTACATATTAAACCTATGAGATACATACTATATATTATGATCCTCTTTCCACTGATAAGAAACAGATACATACAGAATAAGTAATTTTCCTGATATTGTAGCAAATTACAGAGAATTTCTGGAACAAAGGATAAGCATATATTTTTATTTTGATAAGTACTATCAAACTGCCCTTGAAAAGATTTGTACTAACCCATAGTCCTATTTTGTTTATATAAAAGAGTGCTCTTTACCCACCACATATCCTCATCAAAACTCATTTTTTTAATACTGCCAATTTTGAAGGTGAAATTTCCTTGTAGCAGAATTTCAATTTTTTTTTTTAATTTGCTGCAACTTGAAAGCATATGTCCAAAGACTTATACACAAATGTTCACAGGAGCTTTATTTGCATTAGCCAAAAATTGGTACCAGTCACATGTCCAGTAACAGATGAATGGTTAAACAGATGAATGGACATTCATATAGTAGAGGACGGTGAAGTAATAAAAAGAAATGAAAACACTCTACAACACATGAAACTCATAATAATTATGTAAGAGATTTCAAACTGTAACCTGAAGAACCTTAGCCAACTTAGCGGAGAAGCGTGAAGTGAACATATTTTTAAAAGTTGAGATATAATTGGCATATAACATTATATTAGTTTTAGGTGTATGACATGATGATTTGATATATGTACATATTGTGAAATGATTACCACAATAAGTTAATAGGTATTACCTCACATAGTTATATTTTTTCTTGTGATGAAACTTTTAAAATCTATTCTCTTGGCAACTCTCAAATATATGATACAGTATTGTTATCTTTGGTATTGCCTATCAGAGTATCTCATGTTGAGCCAAAACAGCTGGGCATTCATATCCCAGCCTCACTCAGTAGACACAGGCAGCCAGGGAAGATGTGAGCTGGATGTGAGAGATGGAGGCTAGATGACTGACAATTTCTATTCTGTGTAAATGTGCTGTTTTTAAAAATATTTAGAAATTTTTGATAGTTTCTTTAGTCCCTGCTGAAAATTGTATTCAATTTAAACTGTTTTTCATTTTATTTCTTTAAGGACTTATAGGCTAAATAAAATTTCTGTCTTACAAATATACTTTTCAACATAGAGTCTAGTGATTTTAATATACTGGTTTTTTTAATATTAACAGAACAGAAAGAAATAAGTCATTTGACAATACTTGTCATTGCCATACACAAGTTAGTTAAGCAATTTTGTAATTAGTAAGAACATTTAGCATTGGTGTTTGGAATTTTAGTATTACTACTATTGTTTACTTTTATAAGTATTTGTAGGAATACACAAATGACAATTTGTCACTAATAGCCAAAAAGCATTGTAACAACTTTTAAATTGCTATGATATTGTTTGGCTATTTTTTTTAAATCCATACAACATAAGACAATTAATTTAGTAATATATTTCTAATTGTCATGATCAAACTTTCCCATGTGTATAAAATACAGCACTAGGATTTTCTCGATTTTTCCTATGGAAACAGCACATTTTCATATATTTTATAGATTGAATTCCAGAGCACTTCTCTTTCACCAGACCTTCCTGCCCAGCAAGCTCCTGAAGTACACTAAGGCTGTAATTACTAATGACAGTCTCATATCCATTCATTCATCAATTATTTAGTAAATTCCTACTGTGTGACAGGCAGGATAAATCACATAGAAAAATAATATAAAAATAAATATTAAGTAAATCAGTACAGACAGATGCTGCATTTGAAATACATTATCCAGAGTCCTGAGGGTATTTACTACCACCGAAATCATTAGTTGCTTAGTTAGAGTGGAAATGTATCTTTAATAACCACCTCCTCTTTTTTCTACACATCCGACTAAACTTTCATTACCTCCTTTTGGGTCACTCCGGAAATTGACGAAGTTCAGATTCAAAGCAAAGTATGCTTAAATTGCTCTTCCTTACTTTCTTTCACCAGTCAAAACTCTCATTTTGGAAGAATGAGCTGATATCACTTGGGCATTAAGAAATTATTAAAATAAGCCATATTGATTTGAGGTTGACTAGCCTATTTAATTCTCTTAGAGGAGATTTTTTTTGTTGTTCATCTATTTCAAAATGTAAATTTACTGAATCAAATGAATTTCTAATTTGTATAAGTTCAGTTACATTATATATAAACATATCATTTATAAATTAGATATTTATATCATATATACATTCAGTTAATTGTATACATATGTAACTTAAGGTTTTAATTTATTCAACATATAGCTAACATAAATATATATTTTTATCTAATATACATGAATATCTATAATAAGATATAAAAACACAAGTTTTTTCCCCATGCACTTTTTATTTGTCTGACAAAATGGGTACACAACTTGGTACATTTTTTTTAATTGTTATATTTATTAGTGTCAATTTTTTCACACTAGAAATTAGTTGAGTAATAGTCTTTGTCTTTATCAAAGGCAATTTTTAATGTAACACAATTTACCTTATTATTCAAAACTGTTTGCCTATACTCTATCCTTGCAAGGCACGTGTGGGACACATTAAAGCAGAAACGATAGTCCTGTCCTTAGAGAGTACTTTCAGTTGGGTTGATCTCCCCTGTTGAAGGCAGAGATAGGTGCGGCCTCAGTGGTGTAGAATCCAGGGTTTCATCCATGAGCCCGGGAATATTATGAAGCACCTTACCTTGTGATCTTTTATCACAGCTCAGTGAGAATCTTCAGTGAGCTATACTGTATTTGTGTCTAGAGAAAACAATCACAAAGTAGTATTCATTTCTCTGGGCTGACATCCTAATTAAACAACCTCAAACTCTGGAAAAAGTTCAAATTTTGGAGTTTTTATTGCATTTATTTATGGATTGTTTCATGAATTGTCAAAGCCCAGGCTTTAGTCAAATGTTTTCCAGATACCAAGGAGCGATATTTAGAATATTTTTAAATGTCATTTCCACAGCTTTATAACTGTTAGTCTATAGCAAATCCTGGTTATAATATGATTTTCTATTAATAGTTAGATTCAGATAAATATTTATATTAAGCCCACTGACGATTACAGTGAAAATGCTACAGGACACAACCTGGAATCAGTGGGGTTTTTTACTACATTTTCAGCATATTTAAATCTAAATCCAAAAATTTGGATTTAAATATATATTTGAATTTACTATTTTTTAGATTCAAATAAATATCATATTGAGTCCACTCAAGTTAAGAGTAAAAGTACAATAAGAAGAGGTGAAATACTGCCATTTGCAACAACATGGATGGACCTGGAGATAATCATGCTAAGCCAAATAAGCCAGACAGAAAAAGTTGAAAATCACATGATATCATTTATATGTGGGATGTAAACCTAAAAACAACAAATGAACAGGACAAACAAACAAAGACTCATGGACATGGACAATAGACTAGTGGTTACCATAGGGGAGGAAGGAGGTAGAGAGGAGAGGTAGATGGGATGAAGGGGGTCAAATATGTGGTGACAGAAAGAAATCTATCGGAGTTGAACACACAACGTAAATATGCATATGCCTTATTGTTAAACTGTTCAGCTGAAACTTACCGGATTTCATTAACTAATGTCACGATGAATGAATGAACGAATAAATAAATAAATAAATAAATAAATAAATAAATATAAATATCCTCCCCTGCCAAAAGAAAAGAACGAAAGTACAACATGACACAACCAAAGGGTGTCTTCTTATAAATATTACTCTGCTTACTTTAGGCACTAATGAATGAATTGACTCATTAGATTCTTTTTACCAGAATACA